AAAACTAATATATGCTAATATATCCTATGTGTCCTAATATATCTTATTTTTATCATATGAGAATTAACATGGCTATAAACTAGTAGTATCTCAGTGTCTAGGCTTGTTTTGATGTTTTTGCTTATTTGTTTACTGTCATTTGTTTCTGGGAATTGACCCAAGGACTTCAATCATGCTAACTTCAAATATGGTTGAAATGACAGTTGTTGTTTTGAAAACTTAGAAGCTGTGTATGTAACCAGTCTTGGTGAAAGAATGATCACTTACATTTTCAGAGATTAAGTCCTTTATGATCATGAAGGGGAGCATGGCAGCATGCAGGCAGACTTGATACTGCAGCAATAGCAGAGTGTTTTTCATCTTGCAAACAATAGCAAGTCAACTCCTGTCACACTCAGGGAAGCTTGAGAAACAGACCTGCCCCCACAGTGACATACTTCCTTCGACAAGACCACACCTACTTCAACAAAGCCAAAACTTCTTATAGTGCCATTCCCTTGGGAGCCATTTTCTTTCAAACAACCATAAGTTCTTTATATTTGTTCAATTTATATTTGTCCTGTAACTATAAGAGTTGCACAGATATTGGGTATTTCTATTCAAAAGGAAATATTTGCCCCATCACTTTCTGAGAAGAGTTATATTTTACGTCAATTGGAAGATAATACTGCTGTTGCTTTAAGCTTGTCATGGTTTCACAGGAGCATACATGTCCCTTTGAAACTTGTAATCCTCCAATAGCACAGTACCTAATGGGTAATGTGACATTTATATAGAAGGCATGCGGTATTAAAAGGCAAACACATATTTAAACAAATAATAATGACAGTACCAGGCTTTGGTACTATTTAAAGGAAAACAGTTGTGTTTGTATCTACCCTTAAGAACAAAGATCAAGAGCACAGGAATATAATATAAAAGCCTCGAGTACGCTTAGTTAGGGTTTCTATTGCTTCGTGAAACACCATGACCAAAAATCAAATTGGGGAGAAAAGGGTTTATTTGGCTTAAACTTCTGTATCACTGGTCATCATCCAAGGAAGTCAGATCAAGAATTCAAGTGGGGCTGGAATCTGGAGACAGGAATAATGCAGAGGCCATGGAGGAATGCTGCTTACTGCCTTGATCCTCATGTCTTGATCCTCAGCCTGGTTTCTTATGGAACCCAGCACTAAGAGCCCTGGGATTGTACCACCCACAATGGGCTGGGCCTTCCCCATCAATCATGAATTAAGAAAATGCCTTAATGTCCTACTTACAACCTGGTCTTATGGAGGCATTTTCTTAATTGAGGTTTATTCATTTCAGATGACTTTAGCTTGTTTCAAGTTGTTGTACAACTACCCAGCACATATGAACACATGCCTACAAAACTCTTTTAGCTGTATGCCATAAGAAAGTGTTGAAAAACATGCCATAATAACATATAATATTTAAGGAATTGAATTTTTTGTTCAAGCAAGTGGAGAAAGTTGTGTGGTAAAATGACAGAAATTTTACCAAGTGTTTGAAAAAATCTCCTTGTCTTCATTAATCTGTGCATGTATACTTATCAATAGAATTTAAATCAATTTCTGTATCTTTTCATTTATCCATCTGTAGATGGCTAGAAAATACAACAATAATTCATTTTTTAAAAGAAATATTGGCCCTGGTCCATTTATGTGGTAAATGATAGAGTTAATCAGAGTGAACTTAACTCAGTTCTCTACTACTAAAATGACTTAATGAGATATAAGACAAAAAAAGAAAGGTTATGTTTTGTCAAGAAGGAAAGGACAGTATGGTTCAATACCTTTACTTAAGTAACCTTTACATGTGCAATTAACATTTAAAAGAAATAAAGTTTTGGAAGCATTATAGAGTAATTGCATAAATGTAAAAAGTTGTTAGAAGCCTGTGGTCTTCTAGGAGAAATTTCTTCAAATAACAGTGACAGTTATCAGAAACTGAACTGGTGATACATAAAAGATGAGGGGGAAAATCTCCTCATTTGGTGGCATGCTTACTTCTTTCTCCTTTGTTGTTTTCTTAGTAAACTTCAGCTCACTGACATTTTCTAGAATGAAATTTTCATACTCACCCAGAATTGATCTTTCAAACACAAAGTTTGAAATAGTTGAAGGAGAAAAGGCATGCTATTAAGCAGCAGTAGGGGAGAAAGAAATAGAATGGATCATACCTTAAAACTTATAGGACCTTTGTCTATCAGCCAATAATTTGTCAGAATCTATTGCCTTTCAAGTGTTTTTTTTTTTGTTATTTGTCTGTGTCCAATTCTTAGTACTATGATTAGACTTCCCCCATATAGCACATGTAGTGGTTATGTGAACTGTTAATCTAACTTTTCAATTTATTTACAAGCCAGAAGTAGTTGCAGTGTGAATGAAACATTAAATTCACGAGCTCTTTTGTTTTTTTCAAGTGAAGAGTCCTTAGATAATATGAAGTTTGCAGTAACATTCTTATCTGTTTGCGTATGCCTCTATGTAATTGATAATTGCTCTTGGCCACTGCCATAGAAGACTTTTCAATATTGATCATTTCTAGGCACCTCCGCAAGCAACTTATATATTCTCCAAATGAATTTTGCCATTCTCATGTAGCAGCTGAGAGTGATTTTCCCCATTTCCTGTGTAAAGTTACTCTGGGAGTAAAAACGTAGATAGAAGAAGAGTTCACCTCTTGATATATAGAAGCCTTCTAAGAGCCAAGATTCCATGTTTTATGGAAAATCATGGAGCATGGCTTTTTCTATCCTCCTTTTCTTGGGGTTATGACATATAGATAAGGGTTAGAATAAAACACAGAAAATGGACATTGAAATGGAGAGTTTTAAAATGTTGAATTAAATTATTTCATAATTTAAATAATGCTTTTAATCTATTTAATTTAGTTGCACTTAGTGAAAAGTATGTTACCCAAGTGTATCTTTGATTTTCTTAACAGTATACTTAAGATAAAACAAAAACCAGTAGCCTGGAGGTAGTGGCACGTGCCTTTAATTCCAGTACACTGGAGGCAGAGGAGGTGGGTCTCTGTGATTCAAGGCCAGCCTGGTCTGCAGAGTGAGTTTCAGGAGAGCCAGAGCTACATAGTGAAAGCCTGTCATGGAGAAAACAAACAACATAAAACAAAACAAAAACAGTAATAGACACATTTTAAGAATTACTAATTCTATTTTTGTGTGTGTGGTTTTTCGAGACAGGGTTTTTCTGTGGCTTTGGAAGCTGTACTGGAACTAGCTCCTGTAGACCAGGCTGGCCTCGAACTCCCAGAGATCTGCCTGTCTCTGCCTCCCAAGTGCAGGGATTAAAGGCTTGTGCCACCACTGCCCAGCACTAATTCTAATATTTACATCTTCAGGGTTTTCTAGTGAGAGCTTACATATGGGGCTGGAGCTATGCCTCTTCAGAGTGTTTAAGGCTGTGTACTGCACTTGCACAGCACTAGAGTTCATTTCTCAGAACCTGAAACATGCAGGTCACATTTGCCTCTGATTCCAGTTCATCAGGATTTAACTTCTGACTTCCTTGTAGTATGGTACATGTATCTGTGTAAAAAAAACCCACAGACACATACATACATACATACATACATACATACATACATACATACATACAATTAAGATATTCTCAAATTTTGAAAAGGGTGTGTGTGTGTGTGTGTGTGTGTGTGTGTGTGTGTGTGTGTGTAGACAACCTTAAACACACTATGTAACGAGTTCTTGCCTGGCATGTACAAACCATCATTTTCTTCATACTACAAAAATATATTTTTAATGGAAATAATAAGTTTAGTGATTACTTTTCTTTGTATAAAAATGTTTATAGTCATGAATGAAAACAGCTCCATTAGATTTCATCTGCATATATGGTTATATCCATGTTATTTTAAATCATAGGTCACTCTTATTTTAAAATTTGAGCTTTAATATGATGGACACTAGTGTATGTCAAGAGTTTAGTAGAGAGGCAGGATTGAATGGAAGAAAAGAAAATATAAGTGGAGGAAATAAAATCCCACTTCTATGTGATGTTGTATACTTAGTTTCCCTGTTTTCTGTGTTAATGTCAATTTTTTCCCAGTTTAAAATGGCTTCAGAATAGTATACAAAAATCACTGCTTCACATATACCATAATGTTTTTTTTTTTTTAAATAACATATGCTACTGTCTCGGGCGTCATGAAACACTATTGTCAAAAACAGATTGGTAAGGAAAAGGTTTATTTGGCTTAAACTTTCATAACACAATGTTCATCATCAAAGAAAGTCAGAAGAGGAATTCTAACCGGGCAGGAACTGATGCAGAGTCCATGGAAGCGTGCTGCTTACTGACTTGATCCCTATGGCTTGCTCAAACTGCTTTCTTGATGGTCCACCAATCCAGGGACGGCACCACCCACAATGAACAGGGACTCCTCCATGAAGCCCTCCTTAAGAAAGTACCTTATAGGATTGCCTACGGCCAGATAATTTGGAGGCATTTTCTTAATTGACTTTAGCCTGTTCCAAGTTGACATGAAACTATCCATCATAGCTGGTAAAGATATGGAAAACTGAAAATCATGTGTACTGTTAATAGTCATGGTTGGAATGAAATAGCTTAGCCATCAGTGTAACCATTTGATGATTCTTAAGAAATTAACTATAGCATTTCTACACCAACTCCCTAACTTTGAGGATTATGTAGCAATTTGACTGGGTCAGCAGCTGTCCAGATTGAATAGTATGTCTGATTGTATCTCAGAGATTATTCTTGGTTGAAATTAACCAATCAGCAGGACAGGGTCATCTGTCTGTTGTGATATATAGCTATAACAGAAGGTATGAGTCTTTCATATAGTGGCACAACTTCCCTTTGCAGCTAGTTTATATACAGTTTTTCTTAATTTAATAGGTTGGTTGTTTTTTAATCTGCTTAGTTGAGTTGCTAATGTATGCTTAAACATCTCACCAATCAGATACTAACTACTAATACTTATGCTTTTCTTTTTAGAATCTTGTCAAACATCTCCCTGAGCAGAATATACTCAAAGAACTAGCACAGCTTAAGAATGAATATGATGATCTCTGTGAGCCAGAACAGTTTGGTGTTGTGGTATGTATTGATCACAAAGGCCTAAGTATACACTTCTCACAAACATAAGAAAGACATTAGTTGATTTCTTTTACTTTATAACTACATGATTAAATATAATATTGACTTAGAAAAAGCCTTTACCTTCAGCATTGTGGTATTGAAAAGTAACTAAGTTACTTTTTAAGTTCACAAAAAAATACCAAAGCATTATGGGATATTCTCTTCAACAATGCTGATATTTAATGATATTAATACATGCAAAATAGCATGCTGTATTGCATTGGCTGTTTTTCTTCCCTTTAGATCAGAATGTTAGAATTTAGCCCCCTGAAAATTAAGGCTGAAATAAAATTAATAATATTTAAGGAAATTTAAAAAAGAAAACTAGCAACTATTTTCAAAATAAATATTGTATCAAAAATATCATAAATATTTTCAAATTTTCTAGACTGTCAATGATCAATTGAAAACTTGCAATGTGTGGTTCCCATTAAGTCAAGTAACTTAAAAAGGTACCTTATGTAATTTAATCATTTTTTCTTATCCCCATCATTTGAAATGGCACAGAATGCCTTAGTATAAAGAATATATCATCATATATTAATCTACCACAAGCCTGCTATTCAAATGATTGACCATAAAGAAATATAAAGGACATTGAAATTAGTTTCTTTGAATAAAACCTATTTTTTTCCAGAGCTGGGGACTGAACCCACAGCCTTGTTCTTGCCAGGCAAGCATTCTACCACTCAGTTAAATCCCCAACCCCTAAAAGCTATTTTGGGGGGGGTTTCAAGGCAGTGTTTCTCTGTGTAGCTTTGGAGCCTATCCTGGCTCTTGCTCTGGAGATCAGGCTGGCCTCGAACTCACAGAGATCCGCCTACCTCTGCCTCCCGAGTGCTGGGATTAAAGGCGTGCACCACCAACGCCCAACCTAGAAGGTATTTTTTTAAACTAAGGTGTTCAGGACAGATTTATTTCCTATGTGTATTTCTGGTTTACTCTGGCTTCCTAATTGTTTTTCGTTTGTAAACAAAGGATTTTAAATCATCATTGGACCTGCTTTCAAGTAGTATCAGCTTCATCCAAAATATTCCATAATGTTTCAAAGTAGTTACAACTTAGATTTGATCTGATTTCCTACTTCAGTTTTAAAATCTTGTCCATATGAAACTCTATTAGATTGGAGTGAGTGTGTTCTTTTTAGCATATACAATAATCTCTTGTCCATATTTAAAACTGTTTTATTGTTTTATTATGCTGTTGCCTAATTTGAGGTAGAAAGATTTGTCAATTCCTTGAAAAGGAAACTAGACAAGCACATTGGGCATCAAATAGAGCATATAATGGACATGGGGGACATATTTCTCTTATTTTTAAATCAGATCTATTAGTCAACTGAATTGGCTCTGTATTATTTATTAAATGGTGGCACTTTAGCAGAGTGCTAAATAATAAAATTTGTAGCCTCAAGTCCACACTTGAAACCTAAGTAGCTCAGATCCATCTTATAATTGAAGCAGGGCTATACACCATCTGAGATTTCAGCTGCATCATGATGGTTATGAGTTTTACAGTAGGTATACTACACAGTTTCTCAGAAACCATTTTTTTTTCCTGAGTGCAGTTTATCTTGGAAGATGTATTAGTATGCCTAGCAAGTCCTTCACAAGGAATATCCTTGGTAACTTACAGAGGAAATGAAATCGGGGGGCATAAAAAGCAATATACCTTCCGAACTAAAGGCAAAAATAGAAAATGGAAGAGATTTCTTGTTTATGCACATAACCATAAATATTTCAGGCTTTATATACATGAATTCTCCTACGCCCCTTATGTACTCTCACTTTCTTTTGCTCTGTCTCTGCTGGGGTGGTGTCAGAGAGAATCTACTACATTGCTAAGCAGTTTAAACTACGTAAATTGCCTAAGTCTATCAATTGAGACTTACTAAATAAAGGTTAGGCACGCTCTTCTTAACAAATATATTATTCATTATATAATAATATCCTTAATAATTAATTAGTAATAATAAACAATAACCTTAGTCTTTTAAAGTTGTATGCAGTCTGTTGTGTAAAATAGGTAGTAAATGTTTGTGGAATTATAAGCACTCTTTTAGATAAAAATGTGAGGCAGAGTTTAAAAGGAAAGAAACATAAAGTATGACTAAAATAGCAACTTAAAATAGTTCTGTGAGAATATACTATCATTACTATTTAACCCTTGAACTTATATTAGCTGCCTAATGGGGCCATATCTTTGGAAAGTAGAATTCTTCTAACTAATAAAAGAACCCCCAAGTTAGGAAAACCCCTGTCCTCAGCTTTCTTCACCCATTCTTAGTATTTAATATTCATATTAAAAATTATCTTTATGATTTCAGTATCACAACCCTTCGTTGTTTCCCTGACTTTAGAATATATGTTTCAACCTCTCGCTTCCCCGTTCTGTCTTTCATTTCCTCTTCTGTCTGTAATCCATTCTTTTTTTTTTTTTTTTTTTTGGTTTTTCAAGACAGAGTTTCCCTGTGGCTTTGGAGGCTGTCCTGGAACTAGCTCTTGTAGACCAGGCTGGTCTCGAACTCACAGAGATCTGCCTGCCTCTGCCTCCTGAGTGCTGGGATTAAAGGCGTGTGCCACCAACGCCCGGCTATGTAATCTATTCTTTTCATCTACTACAAAATCTTTCTTGCAAGTGGCATAACAAAAGAATTTCAGGACCTCTTTGTGTCTCTTCTGCCTCCATAGTTGCTTTGTTGTTACATCACCCTGGCTCGTTTCTAACTTAGGATTTCAAGCTGGTCTCTGGTCTTGGATTAATGCTATTTGTTGTTGTTTCTCTGGGGACTAAGCATGGGACCTCCCATTTGCTAGGCAAGTACTGCAGAATAGAGCTCTGTCCCCACACTCCTCCATTTTGTAAATTTATTTCTTTGTGAAACTTCAGAAAAGGAGAGGGCCAGTTTCCATTACTAATGTTCCATTGCAGTGCTAGTGATAGCAAAAGCTTACTAACTTGTACTTTGTGCTAACATTTTTATGTGGGCCATATTTTCAAGAATATTTTTAATTTATTCCTCAGAAAATTCATACATTTACACACCAAATTTTAATCATTTCTGTCCACTGTCGCCTCCATCAAATCCCCCTTCATGCCAACCCTCATCTCCTTGTCAACGTCATGTCCTCCTTTTTGTTATCAATAGCCCCTGAGTGCAATTAATGCTGTCTATATTTTCACATGGCTGTGGAGTTACCCTGTGAGGTGTGGGCAACTTCTCAGGGCCCATATCAACTCACAGCACCTGTGGTTACTTGTGCAATGCCTGCACAAGGTCAAGCCAGTCAACATATTCATGTTCTTTTATGTTTTATAAGGTAAAGGTTGACAATGTTATTATCTCTGACCTACTGCTGAGGAACTGAGGCCAACCCAACCCAGGCAAGTGTTCCAAGGCTTCAATGTAAATAGTAGATGTGGGAACCAGTTAGAATTCACAGGCTGTGCTTTTAGGTACTGTGATTTCCTAAAGGAAGGGAGGTGGGGGAGAGTGTGATGAGATAGGTAGATAGACGCTCTAGGACATGCACATTTTCCCTATGTCTGCTTTGTGTATTACTAACCCATCTAATTCCAGACAGCATTGTTTCTTGCTTACTATACTTGTGTTTTTCCCTCGCTGCTTCAATTTGTCACTCTACTCTGGCCTTCTCTTCAAGAAAATAAATCTTGTCACTTGCTGCCTAAAATGGGTGGCTAGATGTTTGAATTAAAATGTTTCTCTGACCCAGGGATCGTGCTAGTTACTGCCCTCTTTCTGTTACCTATCATCAGCTTCTTCAGAAGTTTCCACTTACTCTCTGTTGCTTTGCTTCCTATTAACTGTTCAACCAGTAGTAAAATCAGGATTCTGCCTTAAACTATGCATTGAACTTGATTAAGGAAAGGTCATTAACTACTTCCTACTCACAGCTGAAATATACTTCAGGTCTGAACTTCATCTGTACTGCCACTGCCAGTGTCTGAGGCAGCAGGACTATTCCCTGTAATCGTTACCATATACTTTTATCTTTAGCTACTCTCCTAATCAGTCTCCTCTTAGTGCATCTATTGGGAGTCTTTTATAGTGCATCTTATTTGGTACGTCCCAAAACACTAATGCCCCAGTATTTTTATTTTTATTCCTTCCATTCTTCCCTCTTTCCATCCTTCATTGTGTATATACAGTATATACACATGTATGTGAGTGGATGTTCTTGCTTATGTATGTCTGCATGTATTGAAACCGGATTCAACATCAGGATATCTGTTTCCTGTCATTTTTTGCCTTTGTTTTGGGGGCAGTGTCTCTCTGAACTTGGACTCACTATTTGAGCTAGACTGGATGGCCAATCTGTCACTGGGATTTGCCTTCCCTGCTCTCCTCAGTGCTTCCTTTACAGATATCTGTGCCTTTGCATGGGTGATGGGGAGTGAATTTAAGTCCTTGTGTTTATTCAGCAAACACTTTGCCCATTGAAACATATCCCTAGCCATCGCCACAGTCCTGGGTGATCAGGCACATTTTGACCTCGCATGTGTCAACCTTGCTTAGTTTTAATGTTTTGGGTGACCTGAGCTCTTTTTCATTGTACCTCAACCATATTGAATTCCATTTTTATGTGTTTGAATTCATTCGTTTTTCTCAGAATCATTGCACGTGCTATCATCTCTGATTCCCATTCCTTACCTGCCTTTATAAAACCTATTTTTAAGTCTTAGCTTAAATTCAGTAATTATGCCATTTGTGTCGCTGTCAAAAGTAGGTCTATCTGTAAAACTCTCAGAACCTCCTTTAAAAATTCCCTTCTAGAATGTAATAGTTTTATTATTGATTTGTGAGGTTATTTGTTGAATATGTTCTCTTAGAGTATAAGTTCTATAAGTAGGTGAACTGTGCTGATGTTATTCATGATATGTATCTATCTGTCAAATTGTTGTTGAATGTCTTTGCCTAGAGACAAAGTCGAATGGAC